AGGAGCAGGACATTGTAAATAGACTCGCTCTTCTAGACACTTGTATCTATGGCAATAGGTTATCTAGTACCAATATACAGTCTGTTTCAGTTTAGACGTACAAATTGATTTGATTTTTTTAATGTATGCAAAGGAAACATGATGCTTAAGACAAACTGATTAATATGTTCCATGAAGCAGATATTACATGAAAATGGTTTGGCAAAATTTGTACAAATCCATATACCGGCTCACAGTACCGAAATCAGATAATATATATTATATACAAATATATGTGCGCGCGTGTGTATTTCGAATCATCATCAACAACCTATAATAGTCCACTGCTGGACATAGACCTCTCCTTAGAAAGAAGGTTTTGGACTACTTTACCATGCTGGCCAACCCGTGGTATAGTGTTTGTTATTTTTATTTTGATATTTTTTGTTTGTTTTGTATTTCGATTATTGTTATCGAATCGGTATTGATACTAGAAACAAAAAATGTAAACTTGGTTTTTAAACATTATTTATTTATTTTGACGGTAGTCACGGTAAAAAGCCAGTCTTTGTTATGTTTCTACTATTTTTCACAATAAAAAATATTTTAGTGTTTTTAAGTTGTACTACAAATCATTCTAAGCTTTATTATCAATTATATAATTCAATCGATACAATCGTGCAACGATAAATTGAAAGCAACATTTAAAACTATCTATCATCAGATGTTAGTTAGATTTGATTGGTTATAACTAGATATGCCTGGATTAAACAGGACTGAAGAGGGAACTGGCTTGACGGGTCTCTAGCTGTGAGTAGTAAATTATTTCTAATAGTTGTTTGAGAATGTCGTTCGTGGACAGTGAAGTATGGCTAAAGGAAATAATTTTAATTGCAGTGTATCTGAATGTTGCAATTGAAATTATTGTTATACCGTGTATTAGGAAAAGTTCCTTAGAGGAAAATGTGGGTAAATATATAATTCTTGTCTTTTTTAATAAATAAATAGTTCATGAATCAAATATATAAATAAATATGTACTTATGTGTAATATTAATATGTATAAGTGTAGTATATGACAGATTTGTATGTGTGTATATTATATGATTTTGTACAAAGAATACATACAATATTAAATGTCTAAATCAATTGTAACTAAAATGCATCTACTTCCTGTTTTCTCTGCATCACCTAATGGATGACTGGTAGAGAACGCCTTAGGCATTAAGTCCGCCAAAGCACCAAATGTGCATGATGTGTAAATTTATCGTGACCATATCGATTATTTTAACATTCTCAGTAATAAGTGTATAATAAATTTGTTGCTTTCTCTAAGCAAGATTTGAATTTAACTAACAAAAAAAACATTTTTTTAATTCTATTCACAGTTTACTGTTTAAATTGAAGTAGGCCATGTAGCTATTCACAATGCCTTTAAAATGAAGAATTTGTTTTTTTTTTATATAGCAACAAGACTGACATTGGCAATTTGGCATTGACAAGGTCATTGCGAACCGAGTGTGGTAAAGCTGGAAGTACAGATAATAAATTCTTTGATAACTGACACTTCGGTAATTGATTATGTCAGTTTATTATGTCACATTTCTAGTAGAACAAGTGACACGTATGTGAAATATTCTAGACAAAAATCAGATAAATCAATCATTTTTATCTCAGTCAGCTGGCCAGTTTTTATAAGTGTCCATTTGTTCTAAATTCAAATTTTGTTAGTCTTAGATTTAAAAATAAATAGTTTGAAATGTCATACTAGGAATGCATAGAGCGAGGTTCTATTCGTTTTAAAAGATAGTTATCTGGCCTGCAGATCGGGCTGAATGCCTGATGGTTGAATAGCATACCATAAAGGATACAAGCTGTCTCCGATCCATCCGTAACCAAATAAGGAGAGCAATGGTCATGTGGAATACAAATGCGTGGTGTTTTTATGTAACAGTGCAGGGTAAGCATGTAAACGTATAAAAACAGTCGTTATATCAATTACGTAAGATTTAGTTTCGTAATGTAAGCTACGTGTTGGTTTTTAAGGTTTTACGAGCGTCGCTTATGGAAAGTGTCCTGGGTCTTGTTAGGTTGTGTTCGTTTAGTTTTATTAAAGCGATATTTACTTTTATATTCTACAGGTACGTGTATTCTAAATTCTAGTAATGTTTATGTGACTGTGTTGTCACACACACAGTTGTTATCTTAGTTTGAATACTATACTTGTGTTTGTAGGTACTTGTTGATAAAGACTGCGTATGTAGCATTTGGATTCTAGTGTGATGTAAAAGTATTTTTTGTTCAAAAATTACGCGGCGAATAATAAACTTAATTAATATCATAGTTTAAAGCCCACTTTACTGTGGCTTTACTGTAATATGGTCGTATGGACAGGTCGACGACCACTACGAAGGTCGAATAATCGATTGAGTGACAGCTCGTTATCAAATTATCGATATCAAGGCTTATACTGATCAGCCTCAAGTGCTGATATTATGTATATGTCCACGTTGATAAGGATAAACGCAAACTCGTTAGGCTAAATCGGCTAAAGTGTGATACCATTTTAGTTTTTGTTATGAAAAAGTGTTGAAAACATAAATAGGGATGTTTATTAACGTAAAGTCTACTAAACCGCGACCGCATAACGGAACACGGAGCGTGGGTAGGTTACCAGTTAGTCCGACGACCTAGTGAAGGTCGCGGGAAGCTGTTGGATGCGGGCAGGAGAGGACCGGTTGCTGTGACGAGCTTTGGGGGAGGCCTATGTCCAGCAGTTTACGTTATTGCCTGTATACTTGTCTATATAATGTGTTCTTCGGATTTACACTCGAAAGTAATGATTGTGACTATCTTCAGGAAGGGAAAACTCAACACAATCCAGTCGAGCATGCTTGGATCCGTATCAAATCATTTCGATCACTCTCAAAACTGCTCTTATAAAGTTGTACAGCATGCCAAACCAGTAGGTATGGTATTAACATAAAGAAGTACTATATACGAGTGCAGTTCCAATTCTTAGTAGCTGCAGTGACCTAGATGATGTTCATACTGACTCTTGGACTGCAATAAGTGTAAACAGTTGGTTGCTAAGGAGATTTAAATACACTGACGTTGCTCTTTTTAGAAATGCTGGTTTACTAAAATCTATACATATAAAATTACCTTCCCTGACTGATTAATCTGACTGATCTACGCAGAGGCTAAACTGCCACAAACTTGAAATTTTGGTAACTGATGCTGTTGTCGTAAACGGGTACTAAGTGGGTATTAAGAAAAGATTTGAGAGAATTTCACCCATAAGGGGGTAAAATAAGGGATGAACGATTGTACGGAAGTTGGTAATTTTCAAAGTTAATAAGAAATAAGAAATTATCACGCGATGGAAGCTGTGAGAAAGAGCTGGTTATGTATTATAAGATTTATTTAGTAAAAACTATACTAAACGTGCTAATTACTTGGAATTCGTACAATTATGTTGATGTATATTCACTAGTGACGAAATATAGAAACACGTTTTAATAAAAAAGTTTCCTTATATACATAGACTAGCTGGTACCCGCGACTTTGTTCGCGTCGTTCTTTAAAAGCCCTGCCTTAGTGGTGTGTTACGGACTGCAGTCCATGAGGCCTCGGGTTCGATTCCCGGACCGAGCAAAAATTTATAGGGTTTTTCTGAGAGTCTAGTCTGAGTTGCTCCTTATATAGACAGCTACCTGGTTATCAAAATCAGTCCAGCCGTTTTGAAGATTACCCGGAACAAACAGACATACAGACAAAAAATATTTAAACTGGTTTTTAAGCATAGGTATTGTACAAATAACCGTGTGAGCATGAAAAAAACCTATTATTTTGACATTTCAAACAGACGCTTCAATTTTATTTATTTGTATAGATGTATAGACTTCAATGCATGGTGATTCGTTTACGCACCTAAAATGCAGTACCGTGCATCTGATCATAAATAAATTTTGCATACACTTTGCTGCACATATGGCACGTTTCAGCCAGAAAAAAAAGTTTCCGACCCTTGAAACTTATTTTGATCGAAGTCGCGGGCAAAGGGCTATTTTTTATTATATTTTTTATAATAGAATGCTTGTGTGCCAGTTGTAAAAAACAATGCATTTGTTCATAAATAATAGCTATCGTAATTCATAACACACTTAATGGTATCAGTATTGTTAATGTAACTTACTAAATGGATTCGGAGAATTTCTCCTTCACTGGAACTCATGAGCATGAATCATTGCGGTAGGAAATAAATACATATTAATTTGAGTATTTAGAAGTAGCCATCATTAAGACATTTACCAAAAAAATATTAAACTAAGTAAAAGAAAAACCAGTTGAACTTGTAACCGTAAAATTTTAACACAAAAGTAAAAAACCAAACTGAAATTTTATAGTCACGAATCGTGTCTTTGGTTCTACAACGAAACTTATTTGGCAGTCGAAGTTTTTTTCATTCGAAAATTTCGGCTAAGTCGCATAAAAAAACTAGTTTGCTCTATGGAGTTAGATAGTAATTTAAATTTTTAAAAGCTGTAATTGTATCTCTGAATAAATTGGTTGCTAATAGGAAGTTTGAATTTCTTTTAGTATTTTTTATTAATTCTTGACACAAACAGATTTTTTGTTCAAATATAATTGTGAATTTCTCGAGTTTTTCTTCAAATTTTAACAACTGTTTCCTTATATCTTGTTCTTAGAGCAACGCGTTAACTCGTTCACAAATTGTATTTACTGCGGGCTCAAATGCAAAAACAAATCTTTGAATATATGCAGTTTTTACAGAGAGGATTATTCCGTTGGATATATCGCAACGGGAATATTTCAAAGAACCTAATCTATTTCAACATCTTTAAATAAATTGTGTTGCTAACTGCAAAACCTACTGAGTTATACTACAAAACAACAACCTAAAGCTATTGTATGATCGGTAATAACTAACGCCTTTTATTATATTTCTATTAAACTTACTATAAATATGTTTAACAAGAAAACATCACTAGAACTCACCTATGTGTCCCGTGTGTTGAAAGTTAGTCGGCTCGCCGATCATAGATCTGTCTATTCTCCGGCGCGTGCGTTGCGCCTGCGCAGCTGGTTGATAGCAGCACGCGAACCATTGCAACCATATTTCACTGCCAGTGCTTGCCATTTTTAAAAATTATAACGTCCACTATACACGCGACTCCTACTTCCAAGTCCGCTGAAAAGCGACACTAAATAATTTCAAATTTCGAAACCGTTGTGATGTACGCTTAGCTACCGATTCGATACTCGTCTAAACTGATACAGCAAACTGAGGAAAGTACTCAGTGTTAATACTTTATATGACGTCACTGGTCTTTAGAGATGAGCGCTGCGTAGATAACGATAATCGCATGTTTTCGTTGATGGTATCTGTAACAAAAAGATATCATGACAATGTCAATATTTGTTTGTGTTTAAGTATGGTACTATTAACAAATTGAAAGTAAATAAAACATTGTTAATGATGGTTTCATTTGTGTGATAGTTGAGAAGTAAAAATTAAATAGCGATTTTTAAGAAATTAACACCATGATCACTATCAGCGTGATACTTTATATGCGTGATAGTTATTTACCGCGCTTAAACAAACGTAAACCTCTTCAGCTTCTTTATCGTAGTGTGGATATACCACATTGGTTTAAAAGAGCACAGTAAGCTCAAGTTTTTATGCCCATATTTATTTTCTCCTGGTGGCCGACCATAACGCACCGGACACATTAGACCGGTTTTACCAGCTCATAATACTTGGATAATATAATCTTTACGACTTAGCTTCTTATCGTGACTACCAGTACGAAATTAACCAAACTGCTTTGACAGTAGTAGGTATACTTTAAATGGCTACGGAAAATTAAATTGTTGTATCAAGTATTTAAAATATTATCTACCATAAAATAAAATAAATATTACCTACTAGCTGGTACCCGCGATTTCGTTCGCGTGGAATTTGAAAAGCGCTGCATTAGTGGGTTCGACTACCGGACCGGTCAAATCGATCGACCGATAAACCGATCGGTTTTATAGGGTTTTTCCGAGAGATTTTTCTCTCAGAAAAACCCTAAGTAGACTAGTACTAGTTACTATAGACAGCTACCTGGTAGTAAAATATTATCAAAATCGGTCCAGCCGATCGGTCCATTGTAGATTACCCGGAACAAACAAACAGACAGACAAAACATATTTAAACTGGTTTTAGGCAGGCGGAATATGGGAGAAGACACGGGCTACTTTTGGAAATAAAATTTGAAACAGATAATGTTTCTGCATTCTTAATTAATTAAAATCAAACAGGATGCTTTATGAAAAAATAGAATACCTGAAATTCAAACATTTTTCGCAGACGAAATGGTGGGTACCGATGACAAACTAAGCAGAAACAAAACTACTAAGAAATTGTACAAGGCATTATCAACTCAAAAAAATAGTATCTTCAATCAAAGAACCTATCTGTAACCATTCTCTTAAGTGTCGTCCCATGTCGGGAACAAGGTTAGGACGTATCGTGAATAAGATAACAAAACTTCAGGTAGTCAGCTGATACAGTATCTAGAGACAAGTTCGATTTACGAAGACAGTTAGTTGGATGGGGAGGATGTACATATGTTTTAAGGGTAAAGAGAACGTAAAAGAGTCGTCTCAGCTTACATACGAGTACATTTACTCACACTGATATTCAAGTAGAGGCAGGCAGGGGCGTTTCAAATGCCCATACTTTGCTAGCCCCAATTAGAAGGAAAAGTAGGTAATCACAGGAAAAGGATATTGCTTATACGGGTGGATATGGGAAAGAATATTCCTTATTCCAGTATCTTCTTATTGTATCAATGGCGACTCCAGTCTTAAACGTAAATTATGTTGATCAAGATTGCACTTTGCACAAGATTGAAAATTAATTATTTGAATAATTTGAGCCGAGTTAGACCTTAATCAAATTTATCAAATCATTTCTTGGTCAATGATTATACTCGACTCTATGTACTGATTCTATTCTGTATTCTGTGCTCTAGACTGAGATATTTCAGAGAACTTAGAACCTTACCTCGAAAGAGCTTAAACTATAACTCCAATTCGTTTTATAACACTTCCCCAAAACCATAATCGAGTTCAAAATCTATTTTCACCACTGTCTGCAGCATACACGTAAAGTAGCCCTGTTTATAGCTGGCCTATTTCGTGTCGCCTTATTAGTTTTTCACTTGTTCGAACCAAACTACAGAATCGGGAATGAATTTCTAATTATAAATAAATGTTTGATAGTTTAAACACACGAGAAACTGTGCTAAGCGTATTCTATTCGACATGCTGGCCTAGATATACAACCTGCAGCTAAATAAAACTGTTTGTTAATGTATATTTCAATAACATAAAAAGAGAAAGGATTGATATATATCTATTTACGATTCGCCATCTTTTTCTTGGTGTGGAAATTTCCGGAGCCATTTTTCAAAAGTATTTTTTAAACCCGATGAAATTGAAAATATTGTAAATCTAAAGAAGGAACTAATTTGAGAGATTTATGGTTGGTATGCTTTTAAAACAAATGGGCTGTTTAAGAAATACTAAAATGTTTTTTCAAAAACTCATGTCTATGTAGTTTCTTAGATTTTTTTTAAGTGTACGAGTAGCAAAAGGCTCGACTTAATGTGGCCATAATGTAAATATCTATCTTCATTTATCGTTATGTCTGTTAGTTGTTTATTTTGTAGAAAAATTCTAGGCACGTTTTTGATTAATTTGTAGTATAGATTGTATAGATTCACTTGTACTCAATGCTTTCTAAATTATTTAAGAAAAAAATATTATTAATGTTGTATAAATTAAGTCTAATGTTGAACATGTTATAATAATTTATAACATAATTAGTCTCCGTTGGTATCTGGTTAAAAATCTAAAGTAATAAATTAATAGATGGTAGCTATATTAAATTTAATGAAATGAATTAAATTTAAGATATTAAATTAATCAATTTCATTTTTAATAACACCATTAAGAAACCATTTCATTTAAGATCCAGTCTTTAAGTATAAAATTGACATCTGGTTATAAATATGGGGAGCGTTAAACACATTAAGGACCTGTTGTTTTTTTATTAAGTTAGTAATTTAAGTTAACCATAAGACAAATTTTGAGATTTAATATTAGGCTAGTACTTGCACTTGCACTGATATCCTTGTGCAAGGCATATAGGACTGAGGCTTTCCCGGTGTTGGCGGGTGTGATTCCGGTCGATCTCGATTCCAGACAACAAAACATGGAATGTAATTTTTTGGGCGCACGAGATCGCGATAAAATTAGAAGATTGCTTCACCTGCAGTCCGATGTCTTTAATGACCTCATAGACGAATGGCAACAACGCTGGGACGAATCACCTAAGGGGCGCGCCAGCTTTACCAGTTATTTCCATCTATTCGTGAACGGTTGTCGAGGACATAGCTTGAGGTGGATCACTGTGTCGCTCAATTTCTTACAGGTCCCATGTGGGGATCGAGCCCACAACACTCAGAGCAGCAGCAAGTGGCGAGGTAGCCGCCAAAACCTCTTATCTTAGGACAGGGCAATAGCCAGCAGTGGACTATTAAAGGTTATACCGGAATAATTTGAATAAAAGTATTATTTATCTATTAAGTTATCTTTAAATTTATACGGGACCAACATTAAATAGAACCAAGTTAATTAATACAGAGAAGAATTTTGAAATCGAGTCACAAATGACCAAGACATACAAAATAAAAAAAGTATTTAGTCGTTTTAACTTTTTTTCTTTACAAAGTTAAATTAAAAAAAATACGCCTTACTTTTTCTCCCCTTAGCCTATTACTCTAGCCCTTTGTTATAACCTTTGTTGTTATAATTGAGTGAAAGTGTATCAACACTACTGAAGCGTAACAATAATGGTTACTAAGAAAGGGAAACTCTCTAATTGTCTAACTCATTGAAGATGGGTGATTGGGTTACATACCCGAGTGGTCAAGTTGAAAGTAGATCGTGATTGATGAATATGTATGTATTTAGAAGTAAGTTTGTTTATCAGCAGTCTGGTTACCATAATACAAGCTATGCCTAGCCTGGGTCAGACGGCCGTGTGTGAAATGTGTGAAGTTTTTATTACTATTTCAATAAACATTATTTTGTAAGTGGTTAGTTAATTTATTTTATGGGTCACCTGATGGAAAGCGATTACCACCGCCCATGAACGCCTGCAACTCACGAGTCACAAACGCGTTACCGACATTTGAGCTTGGAGTCCGCTCTTTAAAATACACCTCTCATATAGAGAAAGTTTGTACTGAGGATGGAATATAATCACAATAACCTGTATTAAATCATATGATTTATAAATCATATAATGACACCTGTGACGAATTTACAAAACCACTGCGTCTTTTTTATTATTCGCGACTAGTTCAGACTCGCGAAAGGTCTAAATCTATGAAAAAAGGTCTTAATCTTTGATAAAAACCATTTTGATTGATTTTGATTTCATTTGTCTTTGTCTATGACCAAATCACAGGTTAAAAGTAGCAATAATTTCCATGTCTGTACCCTTGCACGTGTATAATGGAAATGGACCCTCTGAAATTGGTTGGATTCCCCACAGGGTTCCCCTAAATAATCACACCACTCACGAAAATTGTGATTCTATCGTTTTTGGTCGAATCTAATCCACTCTCTCTAATCCTATTCTCAAGCCATTTCACAGCTTATCTTCTTTTCCCATCCTTTATCCGCTATCTCAGAAACTTTTTCTTTCGTTGTCCCCTACTCTTTGCCCGAAGTTGACAACTTCTATGCTTAAAATTCTCTTTTCCATATTTCGCTTATTCTTTTGCATCATTATCTTGACAAATGTCGTAATTACTTTGAAGGTGAAACACGATTTCAGCAATTTCGAATATCGAAACTACTCAACGACATTACATCTCTAAAATCGATTGTTGTTAACTAATGGGAAGCCGTCAGCGACCTGTCACGATGCGACCTTATTCTGATTTGTTTTGTGTAGTCGATTAACGCTTTCGCGCCTGTTATCGATTTAACGCTCTTCGAGATGGATTAAATTGTAGCCTTGGTTATTGGGTTTTTTAAAGATGTTTTTTTGGTTTCGATAAAGGTTTGATTACTTTA